TCATTAGACAAAGAGTTCCCTGAGAGTGAAATACTAGCTCTTTGCCCACCTCTGGTCCTAACCCCATTTACACAGAAGTCAATATAATCACAGCTGCTGCTGCTACAGCTACTGCCACGGTGGCTGCCACCAACTTCCTATTCTCAGGATACTGTTAAGGAAGCACCCTGACAACCCCATTACCTCATCTCTCTGGTGTGTTCAGCCCTGTATGTCTCTAGGGAACCAGACAGTCCAATTTATTTAATGCCACATGATCTGCTGCACCCTGTTCTTAATTTATTACAGACATCGGGACATGGCTCTGTTTTTCTGAAAAACAGATTGTATCTTAGGTCACAAGGGCTGGAACTTTTTATCTCTCTTTTCTAGTAATGGATAATTTGATTCATATCTGCAATATGAATCAAATACCTTAATAATGTTCATAGCCTTTGACCCACTAAATTCTACTTCTAGAAGTTTACCCTAAGAAAGTGGCCATAGGTGTGTAAAAAAAGGGTTTACCGAAAAATTACTCATATATATGTATAATAGGGGGAATTCCCAGTGGGGAATTTGTTTGCAACTTCTCCAAAGCAAATATAGTGACATGTTTGGCCACAAAGCATCAACAAGTCTGAGCTGAAGGTTGTAATGAGGTGGAGAAATGGTGATCTCTCCAGTGTTCAGATGGATTGAGGTACAACAAGCCCACAGGGGCTGGGAATAGGCCAGACACTGAACTAGCCTGTTACCTCTCTGTTTGGGGGATCACCTCCTCTCCCAAGGGGAAGCCCTCCAGTTCCCTGGTCTCCCACGTGTCTCCAAGAACTGCCTGGGAAATTGCCTGTTTCAAGGGCATCTCACAGGATAAAATCTAGAAGAATGGGTGGCCCATTGCTCCCAATCCGATATGGCCCTGACTCCCCACTGTGAGTTACCACTCACCACATTTTCTCTTCTCTTTGGAGATCAGAAACATCATTTCCTAAGTTTTTCTTGGGAGTTTCTCTCTACTTCCTCTCTGCCGGACCTGAGTTTAAGTGAACATAGATAGTAGCACTTTCATTCATTCCTCTATAGCAATAACTTAATTTAGGGCATCATATTATTTATTGATCAGATTCTTTTGGTTGAAAGAGACAAAAGCACATTTAAACAAATTTCAGTCAAAACAAACAGAAAGAGGAAAAGAAAGACACAAAGGGAAAAGGAAAAAATAAAAGGAAAGTGAAAGAAGGAAGAAGTCTAGGATTAAATGACTTCAGGTACAGCAGGATCCAGGCATCCAAGCGATATCAGTAGGGTCTTCCCACGCTTCACTTTTCTCTGCTTTCTCAGTATCAGCTCAGGTTGTGTCTCCTTCCTCAGGTAGTAGCAAAGATGGCCACTAGCCACTCTAAATGTACATACCTTGCCATCTAATGATTCCATTGGTGGTTGTGTGGAGGTGAAGGGTAAAGGGTGGGGGGAGGAGTTCATCTCTTTGGCTAGTTCAGAAAATGTTTCACAGATGGCTCTGAGTGGTGTGGCTTGGGTAGTGTGTTGTTCTCTAAACCAATCACTATGGCCAAAGGATGATAGATCCACCCCCAGGTACTGAGGGGTGAGGCAGGGCTCATCTGAATTTCATGGACTTAGAATCAAGGGAAAATGGTACACTAAAAGATGCTTGATAAAGAAAAAAGCAGATTCTTTGCACCTGACTGCCCCTGTCCTGATGTCTGCCTGTCCTTGTACGTAGGCAAAATCCCAGTCTCTTATACACTTGATCAGGAGTGATGCTCCCCAATCTGACAATTTTATGTTCATCAGGCAACCCAGGGTTCCAAAGGCACCCATCCTCTTCATGTAGTTCTGAATATCATGTTGTGTCTGCTTTTGTGTTGCAGCAAGTGTGAATAGTGGTTAAGCAGTAAGAGTCCTATAATTTGCCCACAGGTCTGACTTCACCCTGAGTGAAACCCACTTCCCTGTCTATGGTCAGACAGAAATCACCGTGGCAAGCCCTGAATAGAAATAAGAACTCCAAGGCCCTGCAGCCATAACCACATGAGGTTATATGAGGTCTGACAATTAAGTTTGTGAACTTGCCACCTGTGCTTATGTTGGCAGCACAGTACAAAGAGCTCAGTAAGGTTTCGTAACCTTGGTTATGTCAGTGTGTCACAGCTGTGTTCATGTCAGCGTGTGGCCGTATTTTGCTGAGTGGCATTCATTACCATTGTTGAGTTTTTTTGTGTGCTGTTGTGAGAATGTTGGAGCTTGAATTAGAGCAACGAACAAACATTAAATTTCTTGTTAAACTTGGCAAGAGTGGAAGTGACATCAGGGACTTGTTAGTTTAAGTTTATGCCATGAAAAAAAATGGCAGTGCACAAATGGAATAAACATTTTTCTGAGAGGAGAGAAAGTGTCACTGATGCAGAGAGGTCAAGGCAGCCAATAATGAGCAGAACTTATGAAAACATTGCAAACATTTGTGAAATCATGCAATCATTGGGTCTGATTGTGAGAAGCAATAGCAGACAAGTAAACATCAACAGAGAAACAGGAAAATCAAGGCATGAGAAAGGTATGTGCAAAAATGGTTCCAAAGGAGTTCACTGATCAACAAAAGCAAAGGTCAAAGCTTGCCAAGACCTTTAAGAGAGGCAAGACAACGTCTGGGGCCATGAGATCACTGGCGATGAAACATGGATGTGCCAATTTGAGCCTGAAACAAAGTGTCAAAGTGCACAATGGAAGTCTGCCAATTCCCCACACCAAAAAATTTCTGACAATCCATATCCAGAGTCAAAACAATGTTGCTAACCTTTTTTGACATCAGAAGGATTATTCATTATGAATTTGTACCAACTGGACAGTTAACTAAGTTTACTATTTAAAAGTGCTGAAAAAGCTGCATGAAAAATTAGACCAAAATGACCTGAAATTTTTACCAATAATTCATGGCTCTTGCATCACGACAATGCACCAGCTCACACCAGCACGTCTAGGTGGGTGGGAACAGTAACTGCCCATCTAGATATGCCTTTGTCCCTTTTCTGTCTGTTTGTGAGGGAGTTTTTAGCTAGTAAACAAATAACTGTATTGGAACACACTCCCCACTCACCTGATCTGGCCCCCAATGACTCTTTTCTTTACTTGAAGATAAAGGAAATAGTGAAAGGAACACATTTTGGAAGGATAATACGATAGCTCTAATGGCCATTCCAGGAATTCCAAAATTGCCTTGAAGGGTGAACTGGCACTGGCATCAACGCATAGCTTCCCAAGGAGAGTACATCAAAGGTGAGTACATCAGTGAGATGTGTCACATTTTGTCTAGGATAAGTTCACGAACTTAACTGTTAGACCTCACACATCTTATGCCCTGCAAAAGTTTAGCTTGTGAAGCCAAGTATTCTGATATAGGGTACTTGGGTCTGCGTCTGCCCAGCAGAAAGAGTACCTTTTAACATGCTCTTTATGGGTTAATAGCTACCCTGCCTACAGGTACAGACAAGCAATGATTGTCCCAAGGCTGTCACAGGGCCGAAGAATTTAAAGGCTTGAACTCTAGACCCCGGTGGCATGGCTTGAGTAACAGAATTGTTGCCTTCTGAGGTATTTTGTTGCTTCTGCATGTGAGGCGGCTGGGCTACAAAGCAGTGGTCCTGCAGCTGTGGGCTTCTCCAGTCCAGCAAACATCTTGCTCCCCACTGACTGCCAACATTTCCAAACTCTGAGGGGTGCTTCTCCGTGAGTGACACAAGAGGCCTGCAGGGAACAGTAACCACCCACCTAGATGTGCCCCTGTCCCATTTCTGGCTGTTGCACTGCTTTCGGCTGCTTTGGGAGTAAACCAAAACGATGGAACTTTGAGTAGGATCCTTCCCCACCCTCAAACCTGCACCAAACTTCATGATGCAGCCAAGCTCATCAACACATTGTTGAGGCTCCTGCCCAAACTCTGAAAATGAGAGAGTCAAGCGTTCTGGTGGAGCCACAGGTATGCATCAAGGAAGCCACGTGTGGGTTCCACTGACACCTCCACTCAGGCTTGAGAGGCCCCAGCACATTTAGCAGAGTTCAATCACCTTGGGTCTCATTGGAAGCAGCAAGGAGGGGGCCTGGGTGTCTGTGTTGTCATTATTGCTGCTGATGAATACGCATTTTTCATGCCCTGAGCACTGTTCTGAGTGATTTACATACATTATCTATCTAAATTTCACAACAGACCCACACAGTTACCCTCTTTTATAAAAAGAGGAACCTGAGGTTAAACAACTTGTCCATGGGCTCAATACCCATAGCACAGTGGTTATAGTGCCAGCCACATACATAGAGGCTGGTGGGTTTGAAACTGGCCTGGGCCAGCTAAACAATGACAACTGCAACAAAAATTAGCCAGGTGTTGTGGTGGGTGCCTGCAGTCCAGCTACTTAGGACGCTGAGGCAAGAGAATCACTTAAGCCCAAAAGTTTGAGGTTGCTGTGAGCTGTGATGCCATGGCACTCTACCGAGGGCAACATAGTAAAACTCTGTCTCAAAAATAAATAAATAAATAAAATTTAAAAAAAAAAACAAACTTGCCCATGATTACAGAACTACCAGCTTAACTGAGGGACTTCCTGATGTCACTGTCAGAGTCTCTCCTCTGACTCTGGGGCGGGAGGTGGGGGCAGTGATTCTGTCAACCCCAGCTGCACACAGCCAGATGCTGTGGGATAATGCTGTGAAGAACTGGCAGCGTGACCTGGCACCTCCAGAACGTTCTCTGGTTTACAACTCTCTAGCACCAAAGGCAAGAAGTACACAGACCTGGCTGGGCGCACGGGTTCACACTTGTAATCCTAACACTCTGGGAGGCCAAGGCAGGTGGATTTCTTGAGCTCAGAAGTTCAAGACCAGTCTAAGCAAGAGCAGGACCCTATCTAGTCTTTACTAAAAATAGAAAAAATGACCCGGGGTTGTGGTAGGTGCCTGTAGTCCCAGCTGCTCGGGAGGCTGAGGCAAGAGGATCTCTTGAGCCCAAGAGTTTGAGGTTGCTGATAGTGATGATGCCATGGCACTATACCCTGGGCAACAGAGTGAGGCTCTGTCTCAAAAAAAAAAAAAAAAAAAAGTACACAGAGCCCAGTTCCAGGCCTTTACTCTGCAGGTCTCAGAGCAGCTCTCATGGGGCAGCAGGAAGCCATCTAGACATGGCTTGCTCAGCCATTGGAGTAAATGATTAGTTTATGTTGGCTCCAAGGTTCTCTGACTTCCCAGATAGGATTATTTACATGATTACATTCAAGGTTCTGCAGAAAATTCTGGTTTTTACAGACTCAAAATAAAATCCTTATGCCCTTAGAGGAGTTCTAGATCCTTTTGGACTGGTATACTTATTTTCCCCCTTGGTCCTTCCTTTGACTCCAGAACAGCCCACTGAGTTATCTCACATAAGACACCAAGATCAGGTGGACCCCATGAGCAGTAAAACTCCAAGTCAATAGTGTTAACAAGGTCTGGGTTCCGTCTCTCCTCTGCTTCACTCTGTCCATGACATGGGCTTTGTCCTCTGCTGGGCTCTTGAGGGACTGCCTTATTTGTATATCTGTTTCTTTCAAATGAATGAAAGCTTCCTAGAGGCTCCCAGCAGATACCTCTCTCTGCCCATCACAGGCAACTGTTTGACCCACTACCTCGGTGGGAGATTTATAGAGCCTCGTTGATAATTAGTAGCTCTTTAAAGAGTTTCTGTAAATACGTAATTTCAAAACAAAATCTATTTCAATCTACTGTCAGCAAAACATAACCCACATCCCATTCACAGAGAGAGAAATGGATATTCCATCTTTCCTCCCCATCTCTGGATGGTTAGAAATCCTTGAGATCAAAGCCCTCTGGAGTCATCTACAGATCAAGGTGGAAGAAACCTAGGAGCAGACTGATGAACAAGTGATCAACAGTTAACAAAAAGAAAGAAAGAAAGAAAGAAAAACCCAGGAGAGGGCCAAGGGACAGTACTTGGCTCTGTGCAGCCTCTGCCCACTCCACCTACCATACCTGGGACCACTTTGTACCCACAAAGTGATGCTGTGCCTTTGGACAGTGCCAACATTTTTTTAAGTTGGATTTAAGATCAGGCAACTGGAATAGTCAGGATTCAACTCATGTCTTGCTCCAAAACTGTTTTCACTTTGCCAAAATCATATGCTATTGATATGTCTATCTACCTAGAAAACCAAGACAATCAACTGGAAATCTATCAGAGCCACAAAGAGCTCAGTAAGTTGAGTGAGTTTAAAATAATTTTAATCATTTCAGACAATATACTGGAAAATGTTACTATTTAGGGCACTTGCCAAAATCAAGGTGGCTCGTTCTCTGGGAGAAGTTTCTAGAAAGAACAAAAAGAAACCAGTAACAACAGCTGCCCTTGGGTAGGTAACTGGGGCCAGTTGTAGGAGGAGCACTTACCCTCCACCATACTTTTGAGCTTTAGATTGTTGTGCTATATGCACATATTATCTATTGAAAATAATAAGATTCTAGGAAAATCAATAAGCAATGCAGCAAAAATTTCAGGATTTTAAGAAAACCTCAGACACAAGGACACTAGAACTGCCAATGAGTTATTCTATCACCTCTCCTTTACTTTCAATCCAAAACAATATTAAACAACATGGAGATGCTATCAAATTTCAGCCTTCTTTAATGAAATTTATAATTTTTTTTCAAATGTCTAAGAAGACAAGATTCTCCCCCGCTGCTTTTTGTAGGAGTAAATAACAGAGGTTTTACTTTTAGCTAGAGGGTAGTTTGCTCTGGGGAGGATAGTTTAAAATCCCTTTTATTACATTCCTTTGGGCATAACAATTATTGGCTTGCGATCCAGTCAACTATTTCAGTAAGTTAAATGTGCATGTTGCTTTTAAAAAAGAGAGAGAGAGAGAGATTAGACAATAAGAAATCACAACTGGGGGCAGAAAGTTCTCACGGCAAAACCTAAGCATTTAGATGTTTTATTCATGACAATTACGAAATTTCTCTTTTGTAAAAGGTACACACAGATCTTGGGCATCTTGGTCACTTGAAAGGAGACCATCTTGTGTCATTTCAGTAGAAGAGTTCACAGTTTGCCAATCCCACATGTTTCCCAGGAAAGGAAAAATTTATTAATTATATATTAAAATGTTACAGTTATAGAAAAGAAACATTGACCAAGAGTCTCCTGAAATAGATAATATTTACAAAAGCAACCCAAATACAGAATATCATGGAATCATTTGGATGAGAATTGTGTAGCTTAGGAAGAGAGAACATTAGAAAACTTTTCTGAGGATCCTATAACATAGGGCCTTGAGTAAATGAGGAGACACATGGAGAAGAGTGCTCAGACTCTGCGGTCACAGGAACATGCTGTGCTCAGAAACCCCTCACTTATAAAAATGGGGGTGCTTACAGCACCCACTCCACGTGAGAACAATAGAAAGATCACCAGTCTTTCCTCAGAGAAGGAGTGCTGTTACTTGTGATGTTTTCTGCATTGTTCCACATTTCCCAAAGGATAAAGACACCAGCATCTTCTGCAACAGATGGGACAGAGACCTGGACAAATTGGGCCTAAACTTGTGAGAAGCTGTATTTTCTTTTGTTGTTGTTTTTGTTTTTGACACAGAGTCTCAAGTTGTTGCCCTGGATAGAATGCTGTGGCATCACAGTTCACATCAACCTCCAACTCTTGGGCTCAAGCGATCCTAGTTGCCTCAGTTTTTTTATTTTCGGAGGTGAGAGTCTCTCTTCTGCTCAGCTGAAGCAATCCATCCCCCTTGGCCTCCCAGAGTGCTAGGACTATAGGCGTGAGCCACCGCGCCTGGCAGAAGCTGTATTTTCTACTGCAGCCTCTACTATGAGTATCTGCCCGACATCTCCTTTTATCTCACACATGCACAGCCACAGTATTAATCAGAGTTCTCTAGAGAAATGGAGCCAGGAGATGTGGGGCAGAGGAGAGAACAGAGGAAGGGGTGTGTGTGTGTGTGTCTAGGGAGGAAGAGAGAGATAAGGAATTGGCTCATAAAATCATGAGAACCAGCAAATCTGAAATTTGTAGGACAGGCCAGAAGTTCATAGAAGAGTTGATGTTGAAATCTTTTTTTTTTTTTTTTGAGACAGAAGCCTCAAGCTGTCCCCCTGGGTAGAGTGCCGTGGCATCTCAGCTCACAGCAACCTCCAACTCCTGGACTCAAGCGAGTCTTCTGCCTCTGCCTCCCAAGTAGCTGGGACCACAGGCGCCGGCCACAACGCCCAGCTATTTTTTGGTTGCAGCCATCATTGTTGTTTGGCAGACCCGGGCTGGACCCGCCACCTTGGGTGTACGTGGCTGGCGCCTTAGCCACTTGAGCCATAGGCGGTGAGCTGATGTTGAAATCTTGAGTCCAAAATCTGCAAGACAGGCCAGCAGATTGAGCTTCTGCGTTGTAGTTAAGACACAATTGATTCTTCCCTAGGAAACCTGTCTTTGCTCTTCAGACTTTTAACTGATTGGATGAAGTCTACCCACTATAGGGAAGGTAATCTGCTTTACTTAAAGCCAATTGATTGTAAATGTTAATCACATCTACAAACACCTTCCTAGCAACATCTAGACTAAACTAAACTGGGCACCACAGTCCAGCCAAATTGACACATAAATTTAACCATCTCAGCCACCTCCCAGCTGCAAGGAACCTCCTCATGGGTCTGGACCCACCATCCAGACCATCTTTACTTCCCCTGTTCACCTCCAGGAATTTAGTATTTTTCCTTTTAGATGTTAGGGCTGCTAACATCTCATGTTCCTATGGGCTACACGCCTACTTTCAGCGGTCTGCTCGATGCCTCCACGGGTAATCTCACACACTCACACACACCACACATACCCCTTTGGGAAGGAAGAATTTCAAGGACACAAAGATGACTTATCCTCTAAAGGCTAACCAAGGGGATCTTCTGTTCTCCTTCACTTGAGAAAGGGCGGAGAGAGAAAGAAAAATATATATACATATATATATATATACAAATTTAACTTCTAGAGGAATAGTCAGCTACATATAATAGAAAAGCAAGGGAAATAATCTAAATGTCCCACAATATATGGTAAGTTGAGAAAAAAATTATCGCTCATATACACAAGAAACTATGCAGCTATTAACAATCATATGAAGATTATTTAATCATCCTGAAAAATATCCATCCTATAGCAAACCAAAAAAAAAGGTCACAAACCACTATATTCAGTATGACCCTACTTTTGTAATATACATGTAGTAATTACATACGTAGTACATATATAATTTTGTCCATACATAATTTCATTGTATATACAGTCATCTAACATAAGATTACAAAGATTGCATGCCACTAAATGAAAGAACACTGCTAAATTCTTAAATTCTATTTAAGATAGACCCAAATTTCAGAAACATTAAAAAGTAAAAAATGCATCATAGAATTAGTGAAATATATATATACATATAGACTATATATGCATAGAAAAAAGTAGAATATATTATACTAAAATAGAAACATAAGTTATCTCTAGGTCAGTGGTTCTCAACCTTCCTAATGCCGTGGCCCTTTAATACAGCTCCTGTGAATTGCGACCCACAGGTTGAGAACTGCTGCTCTAGGTGATATAATTATGGATATTTTCTGCTTTGTGATTTTCTGTGCATTCTAAATTTTGCGTATTGAAAAGGTGATATATTTAGACATTGATTGATAGAAAAACAATATATTGCCCACCCCACACCCAAATCTTCTAACCCTTCTCTTTTTGAGACAGTCACACTCTGTTGCCCCGGCTAGTCTTAAATTCGTGGCTCAAGCTGGTCTTGATTCCTTGCTCACGTTGGCCACCCAAAGTGCCAGCATTAAAGCACGAGCCGCTGTGCCCAGCCCTTTCTCCTTTTCTCTTATTCTCCTCTCTATTCTCTTGAGAGCGTTTGTCCAGACCCCAATCCAGTACTGTGCTGAACTTGCAGCAAGAGGGAAAATCCTGGCTTTAATGTAAGC